CATAATTTAGAAAGTATTTCCAAAGTAGTATCTACTCAAATAAAGATTTAATTTTTTTCCTATTATTTAATATTACACACAAAATTAAATAAGGTTGTAAGAAATTGTGTATATTATGGCATCAGACTTTATAAATATGATTACTAATAAGTAAGCGTTAAACATGTTATCATCTGGGCTCTTCATCCAAATATAATTATTTTATTGTTCACAACAGCCAAGATAGACATATCTGTTGTAATAACATTTTCAAAATATATACCACAAAAGTGCTAAGCATTCAGTGAGAGAGTTCAAAATTATGATCACAATTAATCATTAAATACAATTCTCATCATTATGACATTACACACAATTTTAAATAAGTAACAATACTAAGACAAAAAAAGGATGATATTAAGTTAACTATGAGTATTTAGTGAGAGTTCAAAAACATTATAATCACAATTAATAATTTTAATATATTTCTCATCACTAACTAACATTTGTATTTGGACACAAACAAATAAAATTGTTTTTATTTTTAACTGATTTGTGAACCAACACTTAACAGCAAGACAAATAAAAACAGATGATATTAATTATTAAGTTTACCTCGACTAATCAGTGAGAGAGTTCAAAATTGTGATCACAATTAATCATTTAATATATTTCTCATCATTAATTAATAATTTTATTTGGGGTCATGCAAATATTAACTTTAGTATTTTTCAAGATATTAATTATTAAGTTTACCTCAACTAATCAGTGAGAGAGTTCAAAATTATGATCACAGTTAATCATTTAATATATTTCTCATCATTAATTAATAATTTTATTGGGGGTTATACAAATATTAACTTTAGTATTTTTCAAGATACTAATTATTGAGTTTACCTCGACTAATCAGTGAGAGAGTTCAAAATTATGATCACAATTAATCATTTAATATATTTCTCATCATAATTATTAATTTTATTTGGGGTCATGCAAATATTAACTTTAGTATTTTTCAAGATATTAATTATTAAGTTTACCTCGACTAATCAGTGAGAGAGTTCAAAATTATGATCACAATTAATCATTTAATATATTTCTCATCATTAATTAATAATTTTATTTGGGGTCATACAAATATTAACTTTTGTATTTTTCAAGATATTTTTTAACTGATTTGTGAACTTATTTTTATATTGCTAACTAATCTGACCATAATAACTATTCTAGGTCCTATAGTCCATAAATTTAATTTAATAAATTATTCAAAATTCAAACTACCTAGGCATTTATAATAATATAAAAGATTCAGTGAGAGAGTTCAAAATTATGTTCATAATTAATCACTTAATACATTTCTCATCATTTGATTTTAAACAAAATGTTAATAAGTCAAAAATGAATAATAAAGTTCTATTAAGTTTGTTATTAACATTCAGTGAGAGAGTTCAAATTAAGATCACAAATAATCATTTATTATATTTCTCATCATTAATTAACAATTTTATTTGGAATCATACAAATATAAACTTTGTATTTTTCAAGATTTTTTTAACTGATTTGTGAACTTATAGTTTTATTAGTAATCAGACCATATTAACTATTCTAGGTCCTATAAATATGTCCATAAATTTAATTTAACAATTATACAAAATTCAATCTACCTAGGCATTTATAATAATATTAAAGGTTCAGAGAGAGAGTTCAAAATTATGTTCATAAATTGATCACTTAATACATTTCTCATCATACAATATTATACACAAATTTAATAAAAGTATCACAAAGACAAAAAAACAAAGATGATATTATTAAGTTTTCCTTGACCAATCAGTGAGAGAGTTCAAAATTATGATCACAATTAATCATTTAATATATTTCTCATCATTAATTAACAATTGTATTTGGAGTCAAACAAATATAAACTTTACTACTTCAGTGTATTACTGATTTGTGTGTACGTATAGTTTTATTAATAATATAATAAATAATTTAAAAAATATTAAGTTCAGTGAGAGAGTTCAAAAATATGATCATAATCAATCATTAAATATGTTTCACATCATTACACCAAAAAATTATATTTTTATATTATTATGTAAAAATAATGAAAAAAATTACTACGCATTTTTACATTAGTTAAAAACTATACCGCCTCACGGTAAAAGAATTAAAAATAATTTATTTTTTTGTTTAATATTCATAATAATATGTTCTCCCATTTTGCGTGACTGTAATATCTTCCGGCAATTCAGTCACTTAGGGCCGCTTTCACCACTACTTTAAACTCCGATTAAAGTTAAACCGGGGTTTAATCGGCCGAATTTGCCCGGTTAAATATCTGTTATCAGTCGATTAAGCGTAATCGAAGTTTAAAGTATTTGGTGAAAGCGGCCCTTAGTACGGGAAACAAATGGAACATAAAATCAAAGATTAAAAATGCCAAAAAATTCAATGAAATTGAATGCGAATGTCACAAACTCGCAAGTCGCAATTTTATTCGTTGAATTATATATTATTATTATTATTCTAATTTCTCGTCGACTAATCTGAGGCGCACTAACTGGCGCGCTCGACATTATCAAAAATATCAGGTCCGAACACAGTGGTGCCAACATAACGGCGTCTTCACGGCAAATTCGCGATAAAACGACGTCATCACTGCAAAATTTCTTTGCTTGTAAAAAAATAAAAATCGATCCGTGGGGTCGATATTTATAAAATATTTTTCTCAAGTGTTTTGGTAAAAATACGAATGCTTGCGGTTGCTATGAAAACTTTTAAATGTGAAAAAAATTATACAACGAGCCACGGTGAGACGATTTTTGAAAAACATCCGTCGGTAATTTCCTACACCGAAATTCAGTTATTGACAATGTTTTTTTTTTTTTTGGCAATTTGTACACCACACTTTGAAATCACAAGTATACAACCTTCGTAATATAATACTATATAACGCAAAATTAAAATATTCCACAACAAACTACGTGACGATCTGTTTGAAAAAACCTAAATACTGTGGTTGTCCAACAAGAGAGGGAAGAAAAATAACAATATTAAATAATAATTTACCTTCAGACTGGTATATCCAATATTCCACAGAGATTAAGATATTTGTCAAACTTACACTAGTAACACAGATGCGTTTTTATTAGAGATTATTCACTTAACACTAACAATTTTGTAACAATGTGTATTATCATTAAATTATCAATATTAGGTACTTAATAGTTAATATTTATAATATATTTAAAACGATTTTTGCGCAATTTTTGTTGATTTTCGTTGAACAAAAATAATAACAATATTATAATGACTTTATTATATTCATGGGGCGGTGAATAGTGTTCGCGTTTTGGTGCGGGACGAACGAAAACACAACGACGGGCGAACGAAAACGCGAACGAACGCCGAAAAAATACAGTGGCACGACCGTGCGGTGCGCGAGAGGGCATCGTTCTAGTGTCGGCCAATCGCCGCCGATCCGGTTCACCTATTCCGTTCGGCCAATCTTCACTCCCTCGGCCGCCGTCGCCGCCACCAAACCCCCGCCGCACCACCGACACCGCCACAGCAACGCCGCCGCCGTCGCCGCCACAACCACCTCCTTTTCAGAGACACCGCCGCCGTCACAACTACCGTCCACCGTCGCCCGTTCGCCGCCGCGCGACAATAAAAATTGATCCGGGACGCGTACACAACGCGCGCGAGAAAACGCCAAACTCGTGCGCGCCACACTCGCTCTGTATAATTTACAATAATATTGTACGGTAGACGGCAGGCACGGTACGACATGGCTCGATAACCCTGGGGTGGCGGTGGCGTGTCTGTGTGTGTGCGTGTACGATTTACAATATAATATAATTATATTATACTACAGCAGTAGCTTGTACGACGTGAAAAAATAAATTGTTATAATATACACCCCGAAAATACGAGATAAAAGTTTCCGAGGAGACATCGTGTATCGCTGTTATGATATTATTATCGTTGTTGTTGTTATTGTTGTGAACGGTATCCGTTACTTGTGAACGCGGCCCTCGTGTCGGAGCGCGCAATTAGAAAGTACCACATACACCTATATACCCAGTTTGTTTGTAGGAACGCATACTATGTACGACGTATACAGGCAAATGTACGACGGCGGAATGTAAGACCTACACCGACGATACGGCGGTCACACTGTAGCCAACGGATACAATAATTATGGCGTGAATGCGTGATGATGTTTCGATTCCGTGGTACTTTTCTAGTTCCCTTTCGCTACGCTTTAAACGCGCAAGCAACGGGACTTTCCCCTCCGACGAGGACGGCGACGACGCCGCCGCCGCGGCCGCTTCTGCGTCCGTTACAGTTAGATAGGTTTATTATGCACAGATTTATGTTTTTTCGCTACCGAGACATCCGAAAAAGATAATAACCGATGGAAATCGCATCAGTCACTGCGCTTCCCTCGGTCTCCCCCCCCCACCAGAAAAACCACGACCGTCACGTGCGTTACGCGGCGGACTATTACCGACCATTATTATAGTTTGTTTACGCGAAAAGGCGGAAAACAACAATCCAAAGATGAAAAAAAAAATAGTAATGCAGAAAATCGTTCGGCAACGACGACGGCGGGGTCGTTGACATTTGACCGCTGCGTGCGACGTGAAAGTCGTCGTCGGGGCCGGGAAACGTAGAATATTGTTACGTATTTTTTTTTTGGGGGCCAATCGGACTACCCTACTAGACTCCCGCCACCAACAATGTCAACCCCGTTTCACCCTTCCCCCCGCAACCCGACGATGAACTTTTAAGAAAATTTTTTTAGCTAAACAAATAAACATAATATTATAATTTAACATAACATGATATAATAAAATATTATAATGAACCGAGATTATTGATTTTATAAAAATCGGAACTGGTAGTTGGTACCAACACCACGCGGGCGGCGGGTAGACAATCTCATTACAATAATAATAGTAATAATAATAATAATGATAATAAAATAATAATATAAAAATAAACACGCGCAAGACATGGTCGAGAGCCAGCAGCAGCTGCTGCTGCTGTGCAAGTCGCATGCAGAAGGGGTCACGATGGGAGGGGAGCGGCTGAGCCGATGTGTTTTCGTGTGCGGCCAATGGATCGTGAAAAAAAAAATAAAAACCAACGCCGCGCCGCCGTCGTTGCGTGGTATGCCGTCGACGGTTGGCCACACTGCGGTGCGACCGAACGAATCTCGTAAAATACGGTGCAGCGGCAGCTTCCGACCGCACTGGCAGCGCGGGACCGGGGACAAGGCTCAAAACGACAAAATACGCTTCGGGCACGACCAAGGTTGCTCCTAATTCCTATGCTCGTAACCGTCGTCGTTCTCAGGGTCTGGTCTAGCCTGCACGGATAGACAACGTTAACTGCGTAATTTTCGTCAATAGGATTTTTTTTTTTTTATTAATTTTTTCTACCACCTCCATCCACACGACGCGGCCATTATGTATTATTATTATTATTATAATAAAATTCCCTTCTCTCGCCATAATAATAATATTATGGTCTCTGCGAAATGTACACGTTTTGCAACATAGTAATAATAATGTTATCGTTATCATTACACAATACCCTTCGTTGTCACCCGATACACGAAAACTAAAGTGTGCATTACACTACGATTGACGGACAGCAACGGTGACCGGCAAAATGTAAACAACGGCGGCGGCGGCGGCGGCTCGGACGATCCGCGATTTTGAAAGTACGGGCCACGACCGACATGCGCAGAAAAACGATTCGACAACAAAATCAAAGCGCCTACGCGAGACATACAACCTTGACTGAGAGAAGTTTTTTTTTCTTCTTAAAAAACAAGTTATTGCCATGTTGAACGTTTATAAAGATTGTAACAAGAATCAAAAATCTAGCCACATTTAAATATTATTAAGTATAATAATAATTGTTATTATAAAATATTTATCTAGCCGGGCGACTCTCCGCAGTCTGTTCGAGAAATATTTTAATTTTAAAAGTTTGTGTGGACTTAAAAAAAAACTGTAGTTTTCATCTTTCCATCGCTTTCGAATCAAAAATAATGAACTAAAAACGCTGTCTCTTGTTGGTTAAAAATAGAATTTGTAATTTTATAATAGTAGCTTAGTTCGATTTTGATATTTTATGATAGTACACAACAGTAAGAAATTTGACCAATGTAAAATAGTTATAATGTACTCCTCTCTATAACCGTACATACAATTGTTACAAAAAAATCTACTGACGGTCGAAATAAAAATTATAGCACAAATTAATAGATTGACGTACATTTCGACAACTTTGTTTCTATCGACATCATTACATAGAACAAATGAGAACATGTTGCGAAATATCTGCTGTTTTCATGCTAATTATTGTTGAGAATAGGTTAAGTTGTTTATTTGTATACGAGAACAAAGACACATGTTCTTTAAACACTTTGAACTATAATTATTTAATATTATATTCGTAGGAGACATTCGTCCAGGATTACAGTATTCCGACTGAAAATACGAATCAAACAATTTTATTCTACTTGGAAATTTAATTAACAATCAACAAAGCAAATCATAAATGTGTTTTCAAGATAGATCGATAGCAAATTGTAATTATTTTTCTGAAAGTTACGAAATAATTTAGAGTGCATGGCTTACAGGCGTCTCTACCAATAATATGTTTTAATTTGTAATTTACATAAACACGTTAATACCACGCGAAACACGATTGTGTTATTATTTAATATTTATCAACATCATAAAACAATTCTGACGAGTGATAAGTCACGCGAATCGAGGAGATACTCGAAGATTTCGTATTAGGACTTAAGAGTACTACCGAATTATTAAACCCTGCAAATTTAATGAGGACATTAACTCTTCGTAAGTAGCAAAACGTACCTCTAATAAATACATTATGTCCATACATTATTAATAGTGATAAAAAAAAAATAGACTGTAAAAATATTTAATTTATTAAGACGTAATCAATAGATTATACGAAAACATGTACGGTTCATCAAAATTGTGTTTGTTATCTGTTCATAACAGAAATGTTTAATTATTATTATTTCATTTTACGATTTTTTTTTCCATTTTATTTGAATGAAAAAAATAAAGAAAGGAGGAAGTTAAGGTACAAATAAAAGTAGCAATAACAGACATCAATAGGAAATGAATGTTTTGGTTGAGCGCGTATAATTATTCACGAAGACCTAATAGTGATTTTCATTTGCATGTTATCTATTATTTCTAAAATTGCTTCTCGAGGGCAAACGAGAATCGTTCAATTCGTAAAAACCATTTTATTATTATTTGTCTATATATTATTATGTTATTTAACAATTGACGTACAAAATAAATTAATACAATTTTGTTCCATTGAAAGATATTTTGTCGAAATATTTTCAAATAAAACTATTTTGACAGCAAACCATTTAATCAGATTAATGTGTTGTGCTCGTACACCACAATTCATAAACCAATAAGCACTACAATAATAATAATAAATAAATATATGACAATTATTTTAGGTTTACTCCTTAACTATTGCTAAGAGATTGATGGATTTAAATCCGTGATTAATAAATAAATGGGAATTTTTTTTTTTTGGCGAGTTAAACTTATTGATAATAATTATAAACATAAATATTATCTACAAATCATAAAATAAACGCGTAGGTATTACTAATTAAGAACTGAAACATTAATTGTTTTTATTTAATTTAAACAAGATTAAATAGCTGAATATAACATACCTAATAAATCATAATCAATATGAAGCAAACATATGGATATCATTTTTATTAAATCAGTGGAACATTGCATGACCTTATTGATACTATACGAACTATGTTTGCAAATTTATATTTATTACACATGAATAACACTTACATTAATATTGTAGAACAAACTACTGGTAACTATGAAATCTGCAGATCTTCTTACAATACAAAACAGGTTATAAGATATTATATATTGCACTCCACAAACAAACGATTTATAATTTCATATGGCACACGACGTGTGAAAAATAATTGTAGAATCTATAAGTTGAAGTTGAAAAACCGTGTTGTTTTTTAACTTAAAATCAACGATAAATAATTAGAGATAATTGAAACCAGTGTAGTTCACAACAACTCTCGCTGTCACCGGACTGTAAAATATAATATTATAATATTTAATGACCTTAGATACGACGGGAAACGAAAAACCAGAGACGGTATAGCAACAGTATTCATAGACTAATATTATTATCATCCATCTTGCGTACACCTCGAGCCTAAAGTCTGTACGGTTCCGATAAAACAAAAACTATAAAGATAACGTGGTGCATTCGAAGGTTTGACTCCTGTTATCACTATAATAATTATGTTAAATGTTTTAAGAACTAATTATAATTATCAAGGTACATATTAATAATAATATTACGGCTACCTAAATAATAATAATATAACAAGTAATTTAAATACTTGATACGATAAACAACGCCACATATTATTTATTAATCGTGACTAGCAGCGAGTGTGCCAACTATAATATATAGGTACACATCGATCGTTAAATTTTTTTAATGTGAACAAATAAATCGATTTGTTATTATCAAGCAATACGATTTTACGAACCGAAATAGCGTCTATCTCTGCACCAATTATTATTATCATTAATATTATTATAGTCCCAGAGTTTAAAAAAAACCACAACAACCATCTTCACAGACAGCGGGTTAAACGAACTCGTGAACGCGTTCTATTTTCAAAGATATATCGATAACACAAAATAGCAATGGTTTAATTCCGTACCTACGACCAAAAATAATGATAATAACGACCGAGTCTACCGTCCGACCATGGGAAAACTAGTAGAGGGAAACGTGCGGGAAAACGCGAAACAATAGCGAAAACGCGACGAAGACACAATAATGCTTTGGCGCACGAAAACCATCGCGAAAAACCGTTCTTTACGTCCTCTATCGAATGCAATCATTCATTCACTGTTTTACACTATACCGGACACCCTGTTTTAGTAATTTATTTATTTTTCCAACTTGTTTGGTTATAATATTATGCTGATGACGACGGTGAAGTCACAATATTTTGGATGTCGGATTAAACGTTATCGATGCTGCGAGACAAGCCAATATAATAATATAGATTTGTCGATCGGTTTTCAAAACTAAAACAACGATACAATATAGGTAGCCGTCTGGGTAATGATTATCACTGTTATCGTAATTTCATAGCGACGTGTGTGCCGTCCGGGGGTTAAACTCGTTAAGAGGTGGAAAACGTTTTTTTTTTTTTCATTTTTACGAGAAGGGTCGTAGTAAAATCGACATAATTTGACCTTTAAGTTATTATTATTACTATAGGTAGTGCGTATTTCTGATAACGATTGTTCCCGCACACACGCGCGAGCGCGCGACGGTTTAATTCCAATTTCCAGCCGTAGGTAAATAGAGGGCACGCACACGCAAGCACACGCATGATACGTAATTAACGGATGCGACGATAGTCTATCGGCGCCAAAAAAGTATTTTAACTGTCGGGGGCTCGAAGCGGATACGAATATCGTATTGTTGTTTAAACCTTTACACTACGAAATTATAGCTATTCATCGTTGTTATTGTTGTTTTTGTTGTTGTTGTTGTTGTTGTTGTGGCGGTGGCGGTCGTAGTCATTGTCATTGTCACATCTGGTGTCCCGGGGAGAAAAGCGGGCCTTAGACGACCAAAACAGGCGTAAACAAATCGGGATGAATAAAAATCGGAAAACGTAAAAACTTACCTTGTGTGTGTGTGTGTGTGATGCAGACGACAAAATGTGTTGTATGCGATCCGATTGAATGGTATCACGGGAATTGGTGTAGAGCGACGCCCGTGAGTGCGGTCGTCGTTTCAATCGGTCGACACGCTAATCCAACGCGAAAACGTCAACACTCGCGAATCGCATCCGAACGAGACAGAGCAGACGCCATTTTTGTTTGTGATTATAGAAATGGGACAAGACAACGAAAGTATGCGGCGGTACCGCGCGCGCATCCGTCCGGTCGGTGCTGCTCCTGCTCGACGACCGCTCGCGAGTGCGCAGAGCGACGCGCATGGAAGAACAAACCGACGCCCGCGCTCCCGTCGCCGTCTTGTCCATGACGGCTCTCGCACCGCCGACAGCTGCTGAATTATCGGTGTGTGGTGGAGTTGGTGGACCATGATCCTATATAGGTGCCTAATGGTTTAGGCACTGACTATACGGTGTTTAACCGTCATTCACTTGTTCCCTATAAATTAACACATAATATTAATTATTATTAATGTTTATTACACTCTTGTCAGT